TCTTTCTCTCTCTCTCCCTCCCTCCCTTCCTCCCTCCCTCCCTCCCTAAGTAAGTTGCGTATGTTAAAGATCCCTTGGTGATCAAATATCAATAAAGAGTAGGCTTCGGCCGTCTCCTGGGCAACATCCAAAATTTCCTACCCACTGAAAATGTTTTATGTGTCCTGCGTGCTCATATTATGACCTTATACTGTTGCGAGTGTCCTAAAACACTTACCAAAAAAATAGAAGAAGAAGAAAAAATTTACAAAAACTTAGTACGACCTATTTGTGTTGCATGTGCTGTACAGCTCTTTCAAAAACTAACAAATCTTTTGGGTGGGTGGTTTCTTTTTTATGTTTGTTACTCTCTTGTAACACCTCTAATCCTCGGTACTTATATGACCTTATTGTGTTGCAAGTGCCGTAAAACACTAACTAAAACTAAACTCTAATCTTTGGTGGGTGGTTGGAGGGTACTACTGGTAGGTCCTACTTCTTTACTTTCCCCTCTATTATTTCTGTGTGTCTGTCTTACTTTTTCCCAGCATTAAATGACCCTTATTATGTCGATGTGCTTCTCTTTACTCAAACAAAACTTTTGTTCCCTCCCCCCCCTCTCCCCCTCTCCCTCCCTCCAGGCTGTGTGGGTGTTCAGCCTGATCCAGTACAAGCCTCTCTCCGTGGCGGGCTACGAGTACCCCAGCTGGGCCATCGGTCTGGGCTGGGTCATCGCCCTCCTCTCCGTGGTCTGTATACCTTCGGGAATGATCCACGCTGTCGCCACCACCAAGGGAAGCTCCTTGTATCAGGTACGGCCTCATTTCACCGTGATCAAAATAATAATCAGGTACGGCCTCACGTGGATATTCTGTCCTGGGCACTCTGGAGTGAAAGACAATGAGGAGGCTGATAGGCTGGCAGGCAGTGCCGTGGTTGATGGTGAGGTGAAATTTGACAAAGGAGAAGTGTTGAAGACCCTGGAGAAAAAGTTGCGGGATGAGGAAGACAGGGAGACAGCAGAACACCATGCAATCATTAGGATGCAGGAAATGGGGATAAAGAGGGGAGAAGGAAGAAAGGAATGATTATCTGGAAAGGAAAGACATCGCCATAATCAGACAGCCACCTGAACAATCAGTATGGATATCTTGCGGGCTTTGGTGCTGGGGGGAACTGAGCACTTATGGACCTGTCCGGTGTGCAATGACGTTGCCCAGGACAGGTAATACAGGTAGAATGATAATCAGGTAGGGCCTCATTTCACCATGATAAGAATAATAATCAGGTAATGACCTTATGCATTTGGAATTATTGGTATCATCTTAAAGCTTGTTTATTTGTGTTGCTTTAGAACAAAAAAAAGTACCCATCGAATAAGAGTCAAGATATTTGCTATTTAAGGAGGAGGGGTGGCCTGGTTTCTGTGGTTGTTGTTGTTGTGGTTTCAGTGGTAAAATTAGCGAGAAAGTGACTGTCCAAGTTTGACAATTTCAATAGCCTGAGAGTCCTTGAAAGCTATAAAATTGCATATTTTGTGCCTTAAATTTACGTTTTTCAGTAAAAATCCACACAGAAACGTGTTCTTTAATGGGCATAAAAGGTGTTGAGCCAAAAAACTAAAATTCGAAAAAAATTCACAAACATACTGAAAAGTGCGTTTTTTCACTTTGATTATTTTGATGAGCGCCTGATTTCACCACGCTGCCTGACAAATGTTAGATGTAGAGTTGATGGCTGATGCTCTTTCATCTTATCACCTTTGCCCCTTCGCCTCCCTCCCCCCCCTCTCCCGTCCCCAACAGAAAGTGGTGAACAGCTTCAAGACCACCCTGGTCAACGAGATGCCGTCGCCGACGGGCCTGAGTAGCGGCGATGCCATCCTCACCAAGGTCACCACCACCAACTCCTCGTCAAACTACAGCGACCAGCCCGACTGCAAGCCGCCGTCGAAACACTGCATACAGCTGTAACTGTAGGAGGAGCAATTACACATCAGCACACTCAACAACACACTAAACAACACACCAGGACACTCAACAACACACATACGACATTAGTGGAATAGTCTCTCTTCAACACACCAGCACACACTACATCTCGCCACAACACACCAGCACACAACAACACACAACAAGACAAACAACGATGTTAGTGGAATAGTATCACAACACACCACGCACAACAACACACCATATCACGCCACACACACTACACACAACAACACACCATATCACGCCACACACACTACACACAACAACACACCATATCACGCCACACACACTACACACAACAACAC